AGACATAAGAGAAGAGTGAAGCAGATTTGTGGAATAAAGCAAAGAGGAGTAAATTCAAAGAAAATTGCCTGGTACCTAGTTCTTGCTTCAGGTTCATTCTTGAGGCTAGGCTATATCCCTTCCAGTGGCTCTCTGAGATAATTCTGATTCTGTATCCTATTGTAAATTCTCTCCCTTTTTCTCTCTGTTTTTCTTTGCTAGCTCAGGTTGTATTGCATTATTTGTAACTAAATAATCATGCACAAATTATAGAGATTATGTAGTGTGGTTTTCAGTTCAAACACACAAATATCAAGAAACATGAGACCTAAGGTTTTTATACCCGGAATTTTGATCCAATAGTATATACAATAATTCATTAGGCTCGGAAATGAGATACGCTATTTCACAGTACGTCATTACATGAGATTATGTTGGGGGGTAAATACAGCGTCATTTTTACAATTGCTTATTAGTTGCAGAATAATTTTTAATAGAATATGGACTGTTAATATTACATGACTTTTTTTCCTCCAGATTTGCCTTGTTTTCTTAAAATTGGTAAGGCTATGTGAATAAGCACTTTCAGTTAATAACATGCCCATGGACAATAGCTAGTGTTAGCTAAGTAAAGATTGATTATAAAAACAGAAACACTGTAACACATTAAGAGAAAAAGCAAGAAGAAATGTCAGAAACTAAACCTGACCATTTGTGTGTGTGTGTCTGTGTGTGCGTGTGTGTGTGTGTGTGTGTGTGTGAGAGAGAGAGAGAGAGAGAGAGAGAGAGAGAGAGGTGGGTATAGGTATATGATAGACCCTATTAGGCATATAAGTTGATATGTTGAGCAGTTTTTGAGAATTAGGTGGGGGAATTCAAGTTAGAGACGTAAATTAAAGTTAACAAAATGTAGGCTATATTTATGTCCCTGAGAATGGAGGAGATCTTCCAAAGATGTGAAGACAGTAACAGTTTACATGCTAAGGCTTGTGAGAATTTCAAATTTTAGAGATTGAGAACATAGTAAAACTTAAATTCTAATAAAACACAGTGAAAATTATGATAAGAACTCATGAGCACGTTTTACCTTCTTGCCAAAGTCTCACTGTGTGACAGTGATATTTCCTTTTTGAACTGCCAGCAGCCATGGCTTTGTTGAAGTTTTGATGTAGAAAGAGGATGACGCTAGGATTGGCCTGGTTGACTAGTCAGTGACCAGATTGCCCTAAACGTTATATGAATGTTGTCTAAGATGTGTAATAGTCTCCTAATGTTCTCTCTCTTTGTTGACTTTAATTTCCACACGGCTACCAGAATAACTTTCCTAAAATAAAACTATTTTGTGTGTTTAAAATACTTCAGTGGTCCCCTCTTGACTTCAGAAGAAGGTCAGATTCCTCATGATAGTACACAAGGCTCTCCATCCCCTTCCTTTCACCCACCTCCCCCAGTGGTGTCTCTCACCACTTCCCTGCTGGTACTCTGAGTTACTTAATATTTCCCCTGATGTTTCATTATCATTTCTCAGCAGGCTTCCATATATGATGTGTCCCAGCCTGGAAAACTATTTTCCAACCATATGCGTTGACATTTCTGACATCTTTTAGGGAGCCCTGTCTGAACTCTTAATTCTGGGTTACTTTTTCAGTATCCTTCCTGACATCTTTTTCTACTGTAAAATTAAGTAATTCAAACTTGAAACTGTTGGAACTTTAAGGTATTTTGAGCCCAGAGAGGATTCTGGCTATGTGGCCTGACTCACATAGTGTGCAGCTGGAACTTCTGCTTTTTCCTGTAAATGATTAGGAAAGGGGTCATGGCAACAGAGATAAGACTTCCCTCAGATCATCACTCCTCCTCATGGAATGTTAAGGCAATGCTCCTTTTATTGTCGCAATCTGTAACCTATCAAATGGCTATAACCTATGCACTGACCTTGTATGGAAAATGTTGTAACTCCCTATATGAATGAAACCCTAACTAATCCACTTAGGAATGATAACCCATTCTTTTAGAGTATGTGTTTTCTGGGTAGTCATCCTGAAGCGTTGCACTCAGATAAACACTATACTTCACATAGTTTCTGAATCTCATTATATTTGATACTATTCTGCATTGCAGTTACCAATGTAATGAGGTAGAGAATATATCCAGGAAAGTGGCTCTCCACTATTTGTCTGCCAGGGCATATTTGACAATGTCTAGGGACATTTTTGGTTGTCACAGTTGGGGAGATGCTACTAGCATCTAACTAGTAGAAGCCAAGGAAACTGGTAAGCATCCTACAATGCACAAGATTGACCCTACAACAAAAAATTATTCAGCTCAAACTGGCAATTATGCCAAGATTGAGAAATCCTGCACTGGAATGAAGAGTGAATCACTTGAGCCTTGTTGAGGTTGAGGTTGTGCAGGGGCAGCCCACAGCAGGGAGTAGCTCGGAATCTGAGGGCAGGGAGAGTTGGGATAAGGAAGGAGGAGAAGTGTGAATAAGAAGCCTGGATGGGCGAGGATGTAGAGAGTTTATCAGCTACATATGGGAAGGGAAATGGTGTTTAAAGAAGATGTTTACAGATGTGTTCCAGGTGAGCCACTGTGGGAAGCCCTCTCCCATCTACACTGGTCTGCTACCTATTGGAACATACCCTCTCCAGGGCTTGTTATACCCTCACCATCCCACAAGCTTGCCCAACTCACCGTCTTTTATTGTTACTGTTGTTTTCTTTTAAGCTTTCGGCAGCCTGAAGCCATGGTTCTTGGTTTCTGTCTCTAGTGAGAAGCAGAAAAGAAATGAGGAAGGGGTTTTACTGACCCAACCAGAAACAGAACTAAGAATCCATGGCTGTATTCTCTCCCTTGACATACCTGAAAAAGAAATGGTTATAAATGCTTTCGATCTGTTCAATCATTCTAATCTTAGTGGCATGATACATTTCTTCTATAAAATTAAAATTTTATTTTGGAAGTAGAACCTTTGGATATTTCAGTGCCTGAAAACAAGTGAATAAATAACCAACGTTGAAATACCCGGCACTGGTGAAGTATGCAAGGGAAATATTTTGAAAGTAGACAGACATTACAACTATATCCTTCAAATTAATTCTGAGGACTTTTTACCAAGCTGCCGGCAAAACTATTTGATTGAAGACAGTAATTTATAATTTGATATGGTGGGTGGTCTAGAAATAACCCTGATACAATGCATGTTTTCCTGCGTGTCTGTGTGTACACATGTACACATGTGTAGTGGGAAGGAGGCTGACTTATCTGTGTTATAGGCTACCTTGTATATATTTGTACATAAACACACACATACACATTCACATGCATATTTTCTCTAACAGCTCGCTTCTAAATTCTTTTTTTTTTTTCTTTTTTTGAAACAGAATCTCACTCTGTCACCAGACTGGAGTCCAGTGGCTCGATCTCAGCTGACTGCAACCTCCACCTCCCCAGTTCAAGTGATTCTCCTGCCTCAGCCTCCTGAGTAGCTGGAACTACAGGTGCGTGCCACCATGCCCAGCTAATTTGTATATTTTTAGTATAGATTGGGCTTCTCAGTGTTGGCCAAGATGGTCTCGAGCTCTTGACCTCAATACCCACCCATCTTGGCCTCCCAAAGTGCTGGGATTATAGGCGTGAGCCACCGCGCCTGTCCCCTAAATTCATTTTTTACTGTGGCCTTTGAATTCAATTTAAACAGCCCAGACTTTTCATTCCAATAATGGATATTCCACTTTCTTGATGATATCTAAAAAATATACCTGGAGAATCTCTTAAACTCTGGAGGTGGGGGTTGTGGTTAACCGAGATTGAGCCATTGCACTCCAGTCTGGGGAACAAGAGTGAAATGTGATCTCAAAAAACAAATAGACAAAACAACAACAACAACAACAAAAATATATATATATATACTTGGCATGTTCTAACTTTGCCTTCTTTATCTCTAAAATAGGGCTGAGATTTTACATTTCATGTAGCTTTTGAAAGGATTAGCTGCTTCAAACCATCACACAGTGACAGGCAAGATACCCAACCACACCTACCACTGTTTTTGTGAGTGTTATTAGGTACAAGTGGGGTCAGAAGTGAGAACTAAAAAACAGAGGAAAAGGATGAGATTTAGTATTGTTGAGGCCTGTTGCAACTTAGAATTTCCATTCCTAAATATGAACTCTAAAGGGGTTTGATAACCTGCCAAAAGAGATAAAAATATTGATACTTATGTTTGTAATACACAAAACTGGGAATAATTTTAAATTTCCGTTATTAAGAGGAATGTGCAAATAAATTGTAATACATTCATACATAAATATTTAGACAGCATTGTAAACAGAATGACCTAGATGTAAATATTTAATATTCAGTAAAATGACATTTTTTGCACAGAGAAGAAGTGAAAGAAGTGAGACTGAGACGGTAATGCAGACAGACTTTAACTATAACCTGATGGTTCCTTTAAAATCCTGGAGCAAATATTATAGAATATTAAAGTTTCTTATACCTGGATAGCATATTTATTTCTCACTGTGAGTATAATGTACTGGTGGGTGTGCATGCTATGAGTAAGAGAGAGGAACGTTTTGATTTGAGAGGGAACTTCTGAGTGTTGCTAATAATTTTTTAAGACTCTGCTTGCCGTTTCCTAAGTCGTGCTCTAACTTAGAAAAAGAAATAAGGTATTTCAGCTAAGAAGGTTGGTATTTCTAATCAGTCATCAACTCTATTCAATTTGCTTCTTCCTTTTTATTTGCCTGAATTACCACCTTTTTCTTTAAGTTTCTGGTAAAAGCAGTATGTATTCTTAGAAAATTAAGTTGTAGATGCACAGTCAGTTTTATAGATATGTTGTCTTTTTTCATTTCTACATTTTAAATATTGCCCTGGGTTTCTGTGTTTCTGCACATTAGTAGAAGGTTGACTTTAATACTTAGAAATTATGATTATTATCTCATTGCCTTGTGCCCGGAATTAGAATTGTTTTCTTTGGTGTTCAATCTCGGTCTTTTTCTGTGGTTTTCAAGATCACCACCTGTTTCAGATCTAATATGGCCTTGTTAAGTTTCTTATCAACAGACTTAGGATAGTTCCCACACAGCTGAGCTTTTAACATCCCCAAGAATTATTTCTCTTAATGCTCAGCCTTCGGAAACACTGACTGACGTAGGATAATTTCTTGTAACATTTTTTTTGACAGTACAATGTTTTAAAAATCATGTTGAATCTTGTCTCTTTCTCTCTAGTCTTTTGCAGTACTTCCCCTGGTAATTTAGTCATGTAATATATAAATGTACATGCCCTTCAAGTTTCAGTGTCAATGATCTCCTTCCCGAGAAAGCCTTCCCTGAACCACTCGTTTTTATGAGATTCCCCTGTCATTCACCTGTCCTCATCCTTATAATCAGTTGAGAGCCTTATTTAACCCTGACTTTCCTGAGGAAAAAACTATGTCATTATCTGTATATCTATATCAAGATAGACAATAGAGATAGATAGATGCCAGCTAGCTAAATAGGTAATAATATAAATAACACATCTATCATGTCATCTGTCATGTGTTATTACGTATTTATATAAATTTATAATTCTTTATTATTTGTTAACTATATAATAGAATAGGTAATAAATTTTATTCCAGCAACTTATTTATCTATTTGTATATAAATATTCATATAATTATATGTTTATATATAATTCATATTAAATATATATAAATTATATAAAAATATATATATGATTATATGTATTATATATTTATATATAAATATAAAGATAAACAGAAGTTTATATTTATATATAAACAACATATATAAACATGTGATATTTAAATATTTATAAATAAATAGGTAATAAATAACATTCTAGATGATATGGCTGTACCATTTATTATTAGGTATATGGATAATGAATAATTTGGATGGATAATTTATTATTGGATGGATTTATTATTATAAATAATAAATAATAGATAGATAACTAAATAATCTGTAACCAACCAGTGCTGAATAGATAGATAGATAGGTAGGTAGAGATAGGTAGATAGATGAAAATAGGTTGGTAGGTAGAAAGATGGATAAGTAGATGATAGATGATAGGTAAGTATCAGATGGAGAGATACACAGATAATAGATAGATAAATAGATAAGTAGAATATAAGTAAATAGATAATCTTTAATCAGTGCTGAATACAGGGTTTGATGCAGAATAAATATTCAATGAACAGTGATGTATAAAAAACAATCCAAATTTTTTATCCTTATCATTTAAAAGAAAATCATAATTATACTATGATCTATCAATAACTTAAAAATCTAGTAAGTTTGTGCTTCCCAGAATTTTCAGAAAAATCAGAGATTGAATTAAAACAAAAAAGTCATGTTTATAAAACTGTATGTGCATGAAAGGACATTTTGTAATTTTCTCCAAAGGCATTCATTGTGGTAGTCCCATCTATGTTACAACTGTGCTCTGATAACTGATGAAAGGATATTATTTAGTTATCTGGCTTGATAAAATAATAATATTGAGGTGAAAGTGCAATGAAACTAAAATTCAGTAAGACTACTGTGTACCTTTTAAATATTCATATAAGAAACAAGATATGTTTCATTCCCTTTGTGAATTATCACTTTGAGATATGGTAAAATAGCTAAATAACACCTAATCAAGAAATTTGACCTTAGTCCTCTCTCCTTTCCCATGTATAACCCATAATAAACTTGCTTTCTTTTTAATTCAGTCAAAAACGGACAACCTGAAACTCTAACAAGCTCTTGACCTGTGTTGGCCCTTCCTGCATTTTCATGGGAGGATGATGTAATTCATTATTTCCACTGATATGTTGAGAGCTCTTGGCCAGCATCTTTGCTATTCATGTGTTCAGTCTAAAGTAATCTGTACTTAATAGAGTGCTGGAGCATGTCAGGATGAACAATTAAATATGATTGTTGTCATTGACAACCTGCAGTTATTACTAAAAATGTTCCAGGCAGGAATGTGAGCATTGAGGTGTTTCTTTCAAGTAAAGGAGAAGTTTAAATGAAGTATCTCTTCTAGATAATGACAATTAAATGCTATGATTCAAATAGTGCTTTCTCCTTCAGTCTATAGGCATCATAACAGAGTTTCTTTTTGCTTTCCATACTTACTGGCACAGGGAATTAATTTAACTGGTCAGACTTTTGACTGAGAGTGTGATTGGTAATTACTTGGTTTGTTAGAGCAAGATGGGGCTCAGGTGGGGGTCAATTATTCCTGAATAGGGCAAGAGAGGACATGAGCTTGACATCGATTAAAAGAACAGGTGATGACCCCTATGTAAGCACAGAGAGAAAAATAATAATTGAATAATTTGAATAATGAGTCAATAAAATGAGATTGTCAGAATTTCCACGTAAAAATACCTTCCATAAATGCCCTCTTTTGCCCCAATGATGCGTCTAAAATGGGTGTTCTTACAGTCAACACCTGGGCCGTGTGTGTGCGTGTGTGCTCGCACACACGCACACACATTGGGAGGGTCGAAGGAGAGGGCATTTGGTGAACAAACAGCTGGCATAACTAAGTCAATAAATGCCCTTTGGTGAAATCATTTAAGCTACTGAAAACTGTAGTTGTCCTGTCCCTAACTCCTAAAATAGGAGTACTAACTAAATTTCCCAGCATGGAGATAGAAATGTTTCAAGATGAAAATTTCCCAAGGTCGACTCAAGAGCAATATCCCGGAGGAATTTGAAGGGGTGGATATAAGCATCTCGCTGTTTCCAAAAGGAAAAAAAAAACAAAAAGCGTGGCCACAAAGAGGGGCCGGTGAGTTTTCAGTGACACTGCAAAGACGGCCAGGTGAGGGGCGGCCACAAAGTGGGCTGGCAGCAAAATGCAAAGAGTGAACAGAGAGAACAGTGCTGAGCAAGGAAAGGAAGAGAACATGTCTCCTATCTCCACTGTCCCAGATCCTTGATGAGATGGGTGTCCCACTCAGGAGATAAATGTCCAGTCTCTAATTAGGTCACGTAAGAGGTCACCCTCCAGCATTACTTAATTAGTATTTTATCTGGTGATCACACAGCAAACCGAGCCCTTTTGCTTATCTTTTTTTCTTTCTCTCTTCCTCCCC